AGATGAAGATGTTCGCATCTATTGGTGCGTGGTCTGAAACAAAAACAGTCGTCTTTTATGTCTTTTAACATGTTCATTTCTACACCGTTGTTTGGTTGTGGGAGTTGGAAGTAACTCTGATGTAATCAGGTCTTCATGCGTCTTGTTTAGCATCTTTGGAATTCAGTGTGACAGTTTCAGGCCAGTCAGTGACACAGTCTGGGCAAAGAAAAACAACACATCATCATTCCCTATCACCTGAGGTATTCTGTGTGCCGCACATTCTTCAGGCCATAGTTATTCAAATAGCCGGTGGTCTCATTTAAATCGTAGACCTTGGCTGCTTCAATGCATCGAAGTGGAGGTCTCCAAGGTAGCAGCTCTGTGCAGCACCAAGGACAAGGTTGCATGTTTCATGCCTGGAACTCTGCAAAATTGGCTGAAGGGTCTGCCAGCTTGTCAATCCCAAGACTGAGGCTTTGGAGCCTATGAATAAAACACACATGGGCACCCTCTTGGAAACACATTGGAAACACCTCTACCGGCCCAGTCACGCAAAGAGCTGTGAAACGTCCAAACCTCCTCTACAGCATATCTGATATCTCTCTGATCTCAATGAGCGAATCCAGAACTGCTAAGAAGGCGATACCCCTCTGACTCAGGGCCCCTCAGGTGGAGGAGAAGCAACAATATGTTGCGACCAACCAGTACTTTTTGGGATTCCAATCTGCAATCTCACGCAGAAACAACGATCTTCAGACACTCGTTACGGCTAATTTGTTGTCGGACAATATCACTTTGGGGGTTCTCCCCCAGCCGTTTGAGTTCAAGTGCATTCAGGCGCTTGATTGTTGGATGGGTTTGGTATAGTTTTTGCAGAAAGACTGTGGGGCAAGATGCACCTGATGTGGACAGCACAGGCGTCACGCTGCAATTTATTTATACTTTAGACTCTTTAGACCCATCTGCCTTTATGAGGGTTTCTTCCAAGGGACTAGGGTCTCAAGTGACCAGTTCTGTCGGAATAAGAACCAGGGCCACACCTATAAAAAGGAATCAGGAATGTACCGAACGCAGTCTCAAAATCAGGAGACACCGTCTACCCTTGTTCTATATATCCTGCCTCTGTTTTCCAGATGCTAAAGACCAACATGGAAGACCAACATGTCTGGCCTCCAAAAGACCTGCTGAACCGAACCCAGGGCTGGGTTCCCCCCAAACGGGTCGACTCCGGTCCCACCCCGACGCTGGTTCCACGAACAGCTGGAGGAACGCTGCGAAGCGCTCGCAGTTTCGGGATTCACCCACAGGCCATATAGCCCAGACACTCCATGTATGCCTACAGCATCCTACAGCGCCATTTTTGAGGGAAAATTTGGGTCGATCCTATTGGGCCTCAGTGGATGATGATGATTCGGTTGCAGGCCGTCCAAATAATGTTACAGGCAATGGGACAGACCCTAGGGAAAATAAAGACACGCATCCGATCCACCAAAAAAACAGGATGAAAGATTGGAATTTTTTTCTGACCCACAACCCTTCTTTTCTGACCCACAACCCTTCTTTTC